CTGTGACTCCACACCACTACAGCTGGGAAAAGCAGTTTATGTACTGAGGCTGCCCCACTGCCTGCTGGCCACCAGCATTAATCTGGTCTTACATCTGTCATTAGAATTGGCAGCAGAAGAAACAAAGACTGCTGTGGGTTTTCTTCACTTTTGCCCAGAGACAGAACATAGAACTTTTGATACAGTTGCCCCCTCCCAGCTTTAGGAATGAAAGGAGTGAGGGCAGAGCAAATGGTGCATTCCCTTCTGTCCTCTGCTGTCTCCTTCCTGCATTCTTGTTGGCAGGGTAAATGATGTAGCTGAGGGACCACCTTTAATACTATTTCCCTGCTTACACCATGGTCTCTACTGTGAAATAAAATTCGTTTCCTGTCATTAGAACACTGCCCATCCAAGCCCTTAAAATTAAGGGCTTCTAACATAACACACATACACCCAACTGTGAAACCCAGCAAGAAGACTTCCTTAGGAACAGCACCTCTATTCCTTTAAGCACAAGGGCCTGTCCCCTCTAATGGAGACAGTAAAGCCACAGCTCAGTGGTACACAAACCTAGGACAGCATCAGAGCTGACATTACATTCCACTTGAGGCTGTTGGCCAGCCCACAGTCTGCTGCCCACTCTTTCTTGGAGAAAGGAGAGTAGCTGGGACAGACTGACAGAGCTGCAGCATCACACACCTCTTTGAAAATGAGCATTTCCTCACCTGTGAAGCACTTGCAGATATCTTCATGTGTCACATAGGCTAATGTTTCCAAGGTTAAGGAGAAAGGCTGCAGCTTCCTGCACAGACAGAGAGCTCAAAGCACCTGGTGTTTCCTTCCTGAGCACAGGGAACAGCATTCCCAGAAGGCTCTCCATGCCACACTCTGAAGTGGTCTGCATGTGAGGTCTGCAAGCTCCATGCCCATCAGAGCTGACATCCTGAGATAGTTAAGCCACAAGAGCTGCTCTGCACTCAAGAAAGTGGCACCTGTGACTCAGAAAGAAGCACTTTTCTCACTGTGGTAAACATTACTATGTTTTTTACTTCCAAAAGCCAGAGGAGAAGCTGGATGCAGAGAAAAGCAGGTCTCCAGGCTGGCCAGTTACCCAAATTTCAAACCAAGGTGCTGCCTTTTGACCCTTTCAGTGCAGCTTCTCCAGCAGCAACAGGTCAGCACCCACCAACCCTCAGGTCTCTGCTTCCCAGCCCAGCAAGGGAACACGGAGACAGAGCCATCAGTTCACACAAAGGATATCGACTGTTCTGCATGTCTTCTGTAACATTTTTGATGCTCTGCTGAACCCACATCTTCTGCTGCTCCAGCTCCTGTTCCCGCTGCTCCAAGTCCTCAATGTCTGCCTTCAGCTCGATCAGTTTGTGAGCTATTTCACGTGTGTTGCAGCCAGGACCCACCCCCCTGGGTAAAGCAGAAATGGGTGAGATATATCAGCCTCTGGAGGCCCCAGACCAACCCCAACCTCTCTGCCAGCCTCTTATTCCCACCTGTGTCAAACATCAATGCCAGATTGCCTGGAAAGCCATGTCTGTACCTGCTCTAGATCCCCACCTCCCAGCACAGCAATGTTTGGTATATCTTTTTATTTCCCACAGTCTAGCAGGACTCTTCCCCACCTCCTGTGTCATGATAGGCATCTTTTCTAGACCAAGGCAGTGCAAATATTTAGTTTGTACCAAAATAACACCTTTGCTGTAAGAGAGACACCATATGTACTTCAGCTTTCCTCACCGTGCCATCAGCACAGCCCAGCTGGGGGAGGCAAGAGCATGGACCACTGAGGAATCTCCCTCTGCACAGGGCATTTTAATCCCACTGTCACTTAAACCTGCACTAGAAGGGACCTGTGAATGATTTAGACCATCTCTGCCACTCACTTCCACTGGATACTGTTCTTGGACTTCTTCTCGATCAAGCCGATGCCTTCCAGGACATTTGTGATATCGTAGATCCGTCGCTTCTGTCGCACAGCCAAGGTATCTGCAGCCTGAAAAAGGTTAAGACACTTAATTCCAAACTCTCAATCATGTTTAGCTCCTTCTTGCCTGGCAGATTAACTCCTGGCCAAGTACTTTGCTCCCCATTTCATACCTCTCCTGTTCCAGCGTTTCAAGTTACACAGCCATGTTCTTGATCTCATATGACCATGAAAAGTCACTCATTCTTCTTTTTTTCTTGCCCCACAGCCTCCCCACTAAACACAAACCAAATTCCAGCACTCCTGCTCGCAGTGGATCCAAAAATCACCATTCTCCAGTAGCAAAGCAGGGCTAGAAAACAGTAGTTCAGCAGCCTAAAAATGCAGTGCTCCCTTGAGGTAGAGCTGGAGATGGGAAGGGGAATGCTGAAAGCTGTCTCTGCAACACTTCAGTGAAATCAACATTCACAAGGTCTTTTCTAAAGCTGATCTGATGCCACTTGACAAAGAATCAATATCTTTTCAAGAGATTCCTCTGTTTGAATGACATGATTCCAGGTGGAGAGTAAACAAGAGCACGCTTGGGGCTTCCCTGCCTTGCTCACACGACCCTTTCCCCCTCAGGTTTCAGGACTCAAGGAATGGAACTGCTTCCACCACCACACAGCAACCTGGCACCAGCAAGAGTTAATGTGTGCAGAGCCAGGACCAGCAATGGCAGTGGCAGTGCAGACAGAGCAGGTCAGCACAGGAGCCATGTCCCTGTCACCCACCAGTGAGGGGCCAGGACTCTGGAGACCCTGCACCACACAACTACATAAATCACACTGACCAACACAAATTCCCTTAATGGACATCTGAAGTACAAAGATATTGTCAAATCCAATGAGAAAACAATTTGGCACAGGCATGGAGCCAGGAAACTCCTCCAGCCCTGCATTATTGGGGCTTTCTGGCACTTGTCTGTCTCACACACGTGCCCACATAAGAGATGATTATATAAACCACAGCAAAGGAACTTCCCCTACAGGAAAGGCCAGAGATTAAGTATTATACATTGCAGTGTGTTACTTCCTCTGGGTGAAGATCTTAAAAATACAGAAGCAAGATGCATTCACACAGCACTTCTCCACTGCCTAAAGGAATGGGGGAAAACCTCTGGCAGGTGACTCTGACCACACTCCCCCTCCTGGTGTGTGCCGGGAGGGTTAAGTGCTGTACGGACAGTTTCTATAGGTGTGTGTTTCTGTAGATGTCTGAGGCTTTGGTGCCAGGGATCACGTACAGGGCAAGAATACAGAAGAGAACAAGGTTCTGCAACTGAAGCACACAAACACCTGCAATGTATGGCAAAGTCCTGGGAAAGAAGAGTGCCCGGGACCACCCGATGGGGTGGGGAGAAGGGCTGGGAAGGAGGAGCAGGGGGGGCTGGGAGGGCGGCCAGTGCAGAGCCCTCCGTGCACGGCCGGCAGCTCTGCCCCAGGAACCCCGCTTTCCGTGCACCCAGAAACGGCTGGAAAAGCCCTCCAGGATCATCGATCCCAGCCACTAAACCCCACCACTGACCCACGTCCCTAAGCGCCACATCCACAACCGTTCTGACCAGGGACAGTGATTCCAGCGCTGCCCCGAGCAACCCATTCCACCAGTGCCTCACCACTCTTGCCGTGTAGAAATTTTTCCTGTAATCCAATCTAAACCACCTGCTGCACCGGGCGCTGCCGTGTCGCCGTTCTCCCCCTCCAAACCCGCTCCAGCCGCCGGAGCCCCGGTCCCGCCGGAGCCCCGCTCTCCCGGCGGCCGCTCCCTCCGATTCCACCCCCGGGCCGGCGGAGCCCTCGCCCCCCGCCGCCTGCCCCCGCACCAGCTTGAGGTCGAGCACGCCGTCCTTGGCCTCCTGCAGCAGCGACACGAACTTGGTGGTCAGCAGCCCCAGGCTCTTCTCGTGCCGGCTGGGCGCGCCCGCAGCCCCGCTGCCACCCCCGGGGGGCTGCGCCCCGCACTCCGCCATCTGCCCGCCGCCGGCTCCGGGGCCGCGCATCCGCTTCCGGGCCGCGGGGCTCCCCGGGAACCTCCGGGGCGGGGACGGCGGCGGGGCGGGGACGGGGGACTCCCCCCCGCCGTTTCCCGGGGGGACGGAGCCGTTCCGCTTTGCTCCCGGTGTTCCGGCAGCCCCGTCAGTTTGGGGGGTAAAGCCAGGGGTGCGTCCATCCCCTCGCCGTTCTGCGGTGCCAAAGTCAAACTCCCGCCCCGTGGTACCGAAGCCAAAGCTCAGCCATGTACCCAGCTCTCACCGCCCCGCTGACAGGGGCGGTTTGCTGCTCCAGCACACCCAGTGCCGGGGGAATCCTCCAGCGTGGTCCCGGGGAGCGCAGCTTGTGGCAGGGACGCATCTCCTGGTCCATCCGCTGCCATGCAGGGTGCACCCTCGCGTTCTCGCCCCCGGTCAGGCTGGCACAGCGCAGCCCTTCATGGTGGATCCACCCTCGAGTGGGCTCGCACTGTGGGTGCGCTGGGGTCTGGACCCCGCTGTCCTCCCCGAGCCAGGGTGGGTGCGAGGGAAGGGAGCAGCGCTGCGGGCACGGACAGGGCTGAGTGTCCGGAGAACAGGGGGTGCCGGTGAGGGGAGACCGGGTGTGATCTCCAGGACGAGAGGAAATGGCCTCAAGTTGAGTCAGGAGAGGGATCGATTGACTATTAGGGGAAATTTCTTCATTAAGAGGATGGTCAGGCATTGGAAAATGTTGCCTAGGGCGATGGTGAAGTCGCCATCCCTGGACACGTTAAAAAGGCGTGTGGATGTGTCACTTAGGAACGTGGTTTAGCGGTGGGCTTGGCAGTTACCGGTTGGTACTCGAAGATTTTAGAGGGCTTTTCCGACCTAAATGATCCTTTGGTTGCGTGACTCCTATTGCCCAGACCTCCGGCTGTCGCGGTGCCTTCCCGTGTCCCCCCTCCCCTCCGCCCCCCGTTCCTGACGTCCTGAGCGCGGCTGCGGGAACACAATGAGGCCCTGAGGAGCGCGGCTGCTCCGGCTGAGGAAACGGCAGCCGGCTTCCTCCGCAGCCCTGCCCTGCCCCGCAGCTCCGCGCACCCTGCACACCATGGGCATGTCTGCGGGGGACGAGCGCGCCGCCAGCCCCAGAGGTAACGGGGATGATGCTCCCCGGGGAGCCGGCGAGCCGGGCAGGGAAGGGATGCTGCTGCTTGCAGCACATTTTGGGGATTCCCCTGCCCTTTGCCTCACCCCCTCCACCCTCCTTTTCCCCGTGCCGGGGCTGGTGCCTTGTGTCCTTGCGGGGTGGCAGCCTGGCTGTGCTGCCTGATGGTGATACCGGCGCCGGGGTAGTACAGCTCACCGCTCATCTTATCCTCAAAGCCGCTGTCCTCCTCCCTAATCCCCTGGTCCCCAAGCGGCTCCCCAGCAGGGCAGGAACCTGGCTTGGCACCGGGTGACAGCCCCGCGGGGCTGCAGGGAGTGGCTGGGGATGGGATGGGGTGGGGGAATGATGAAACCAGGCACTGGGGACTGGGAATGGTGTGTGATAACTGTGCTGGTTCTCAGCCCTCCACTGTGGCCAGGAGCTTTTTGGCATGGCTCTGGACCTTGTGTCAAGGGGGACACAGCTGTGTGGGTGCTTTGGGGAGACCAGGAGTCTCCAATCCTCACCTTAACCTGGCTCTCCTTCCTGTGAGAGCTGCAATGTCCCCATCCCTCCTGCTGACTCACTGCTGGAGTCTCAACCCTGCTGACAGCTTCCCAAGTGGCATCAGACCCCCCCAGGCAACCCAGCATTGTGTTTGGGGGAGCAGCCGGCCTGGGGACAATCTGAGCTGGCAGGCTGAGTCACAGCACCCCAGGGCAGCTTTGCTTCTTGCTGCCACAGCCATGGTGGTGGCATCTTGGGGGCGCCTTGCAGAAGGACCCTCTTGGTGCCACGCTGCCCAGCTTCCCACATCCGTGTGTGCTTGGAAGTCCACTGGCAGTGAGCTTCCTGCCTCGGGCCTCAGGGGCCCTTCCTGCCCCTTGGTTGTGCTCACTGACCCCTGGCTTCATCCCCAGATGAGGAGTGGCCGGAAGCAGAGAAGGCTGAGAAGCTGGCGAGAGGAGCTGCTCTGAAATGGGCCTCGGGGGTGTTTTACCGCCCCGAGAAACTGGAGGGGCTCGGGCACTACCGGAGACGGGAAACGCAGAGGAACAACTCCATCCAGTCCCGGCTGAAGGTGTGTGTTTGCCCATCCCATGAACACTTGCAGCCACACCCCCTCCTCAGGCAGGGATCCCACCAGGGTCCCCTCTTGTGCCATGAGTCCCCTGTATGTCCTCTTTTGGCTAAATCTGTTCCTTGGACTGGTGTTTGGTGGGTGAAGTGCAATTGCCAGGGGGAGAAGACCTCTTTCACCCTCTGCCTTGTCCCAGGCAGTGCCTGAAGTGTTAAAAGGAGGCTGCTGTGTCTCTGACAATCCTTCAAAATAAAACACCAAGGGGGCTCAGCACATTCCATGTGCAGGACTCAGCACACCCCATCACTGCCCTGTCCCAGCCCCAAAGGCTGCCCTGCCCCACAGCTGGAGGAGGCACAAAACTCCAACCTGTCCCTGTCTGTGGGTCTCAAGTGGGAAAACTGCATCTCTACATATTTGTAAGGGCTGTCCCAGTCTCCCTGCACTCCTGCCTCCTCACCCACATGCCCTTTTGCATGACCCAAGGAATTATTAACCTCAGAACTGAATCAGTCTGAGCACCACAACTTTCTCCTGATCATTTTAGAGATGGTTTCTCCTATCCTGACTCTGGATGAATTGTCTGGGAGGCCTCAGTGAAAGCAACTTGCTTCTGGGAATTCTTGGCACCAGGAGAGGGGAATTAAATGAGTGTGCCAGTGCCACTGCAGGGCTGGAAACGATGGCACTCCATTTGGGAGGAGGGTTTATATGGCCACTTCATGCCTTGGGGACACACAGGGGCCCTGTGACCCACTGCTCCTTTGCAGAAACAAAGTAATATTTTAAAACTGAGAGAGACATCAGATTACTGTTTATCCTGGACCTTGAGGGGCTGCAACACAGATTGTGCAGGGCTGGGGCAAATGGTGTGGGGTTCTCCTGCCTTCTGGAGCTGCTCCAGTGCCCTCCATCCTTTTCTGCTCCCCAGTCAACTGTCCAGTCCTACCTGGAGGGGGTAAGTGCAGGGCTGGAGCAGCTGCGCTCGGCGGCCCAGGAGGTGCAGGGCGTGTGCCAGGACCTGGGCGCTGCACGGTGGGCCCTGCTCGACAGCGCAGACCACTTCCAGGGCCTCCAGGAGATGAGGAAGCTGATGGAGGAGCATGTGCAGCTGGCCTCAGTGGTCCAGGTGCTGCCCCAGATCTTCTCGGGTAAGGCAGAGGCCCAGTCCTGGTCCATTTGGGCCGGAAAGCACTGGAGGAAACCTTAGTCCAACCACGGGTTCTGTGCAGGGCTGGTGGTAAAGCCTGAGCAGGTCACTCAGGCTTTGCCAGTTGGGTGAAGGGAGATGTCCCTGCTTCCCCAGGGCCTGATCCAGTGGTGTTCCCAGAGCCCCAGACCTTTCCCCTCACCATCTCCTTGATAACCTGCATCTATGTCCCTGGTGCAAACCCCTTCATCTCCACACTCAGTGCTGGCATCTCTCCCTCTCCCACAGTCCACGAGGTTTTTTCCCATATCCTGCAGCTGCTCCATGGGCAGCATCTCTTGGAGGCCCACGTGGAGCTCATGATGGTGGAGCAACTCCGGGATGACATCCTCTCCCAGCTGCACCTCCGCGGGCTCTCCAGTGCCCAGGCAACTGTGCTGTCCTACTTCAGTGGCCTGCAGGACCTCAACGAGAGCCTGGCCAAGCAGCTGTGGGACATTGTGGGCAGCAGCCTGCGGCTGGTGCGCGAGGACCCCGTTCTCTTTGTCACTGCTGTGAGGATCATCGAGCGGGAGGAGAAAATAGATGACACTCTGCTCTTGGAGGCCACCTTCCTGCCCCCTGGCCGCCCAAAGGGCTGGAGGCAGAAGTTCTACCAGGTCCTCCAGGACACCATCACAGGAGGCTGTTTCCGTGCTCCCCGCTTGGATGCTGAGGGGCCAGGGCTGGCCAAGCACCTGGCAGCGCTGCAGAAAGACATCGTGTGTGAGCTGCGTGTGGTGAAGGACCTGATGGTCCAGTGTGTCCCAGCTCACTACAACATCCTCAGCGTCTGCACTGCCACCTACCACCAGGCCCTCAGCAGCCACCTGCAGGAGATCCTGCGGGAGGACCTGGACAAACAGGGACTCTTCCTTCTCCTTGAGTGGGCGTTCCGTGTGTACCACAGGTCAGCACCAACCGAGCGAGGGAGGTTGTGGAGAGCTGGGTTGTTCACCAGCTCATGGATGGGTTGGGAGAATGTCTCTGGCTGCCAGGGGGTGATGACCAGGAAGGCAGAGGGACAGGTAGGAGCTCCTGGAAAACAGGCCTTCCAACCCTGCCCCACCTCTGCCCTCCAGCCCAGAGATGATGGGTCACCCTGACCTCCTCCCAGAAGTGGATGTTTCTGCTCTGGATCCCTTGATGTCCTCTGAGCTTGTGGATCAGACAGAGAGGAGATATGTGATGAAAGTCAAGGTGAGTGAGCAGGACAGGACTCCCACTGAGTCAAGCATCTGCTCATCATGAGCCTGGGATGAGGCCCAGGACTTGCTGTGCTATGTTGGGTCTCAAGGGAGTCTGTACTTGGCTTCTTGGGCTGCCTGTGGGGGTGTCCATCCTGCAGGCTAGTGTGTTCGAGTGGATGCAGAGGACCCTGGATGTGGAGTTCAAGGAATGGTTCAGGGAAGAGGAACCTGAGACAGACCATGAGGGCTTCTTCCAGTCAGCCTTGCCTGCCATTGTCATGCAGGTGGGACCCCAAGAACATGGGTACAGATGGGGCATGGCCATGCTGAGGCCTCCCAGAAAGGATTCCATGGCCTGCAGGCTCTCCCTGAATCACCTCCACTTTCCTCTTGTGCTGCAGATGCTGAATGAGAACATCCAGGTGGCTTCCTTGATCACTGACTCTCTGCAGCAGAAGATCTACAACATGGCCTTGGAGGAGCTTGAGGCATTCCTGGGCCGGTCAGTGGAGCCCCTCACACCCCTGCCCACCCTCACAGAGCCTGGGGCCATGAGCATAACAGGTGGGGGTGGAGATCTGCTGTGGGGCACCCAATGCTCATCCAGCTCACAGAGAAAGCTCAGCAGCCTGTCTACCCATGGAGCTGCTATCTCAGCCTCTGGGGACATCAGCTCTCAGGGCCTGCTGCCCCAAATGCTTGTCTGCTGAGACCTCCCAAGGGGATCCAGAATGGGTCCCACTGTCCCACCCTGCCCAACAACCTGTCACTCCCCAACGTGGTGGCAGGATCTGACAGGACCCAAGTGAGCTGGGAGGGTTTTGGGAGGTGAGCTGGGAGGGTTTTGGGAGGTCCATGTGTCCCCAGGAGCATCCCAGGGCCAGGTGCCCGTGGTGGCTCTGCCTGCCCGTCACGGTTCCTCTGCCTCGCTGTGTTGCAGCCTGCGGGAAGCGCTGGTGCAGTGCGGGAAGGAGCACCAGCAGGACCGGGCCGTTCCCAAGTACTACATCTCCCACCTGCTGGCCGTGCTCAACAACAACCTGGCTCTCAGGTAAGCTGCACCAGCACCTGGGAGCTCTTGTAGCAACACCCACCCCCATCCTCGCTGGGGCAGCGTTCCCACTATGCTTCCCAGGCTACCTGTGCCCTCTCTTCTCTCTCCTAGCAATTCTGTCTCCTCCCTGCACCCTGACGCTGCCTGCAGAGAAGTCCCTGGATCCCTGCAGGCTGCTCTAGATAGGATGCAGAAGAAAGCCACCCAGCTGCTGCTGGAGGAACTGCTCCTGGACCTGCAGGTATGTTGGTCCAGAACCTGAGGCTGACAGGGCTGCAACAAAGCTGAGCCCAGCAATAATAGCCCTACTGCAACTCGAGTTCATTCCTGCTCAGGGTGCCTGCCATCTACTCTGTGCCCTGCTATCACCCTGCAGACATCTCTGCCAGCCTGTCCCCCAGACCTTGATAAAGCACCCGATGTCTGTCACCAACAGCAGCACCCCATATCGCTGGGCAGATGGCTCATGGCCCCCAAATCACCAACGGACAGAGCCCACAGCCAAAGCCCCCCCGAGCTGCCTCAGCTCCTTCTGGCTGTTCCATGGCAGAAAACCAGCTGGAGAGCAGCAAAGTCTGTGTGGAGGATACAAATCCATGTGCAGCTGCCTGAGTCGTTTCCTGCTAGTGTAGTCAAATTTAGCTTTCCTGGAGTCTGGACCAAAAACCTGGAATAATTAACGGCATTACTATTTAGGGCTTGAATGCCATGAAAACAAAGGAAGAGCCAAAAGGTGAAGAGCTTGCAGGCAGCAGTGGCCCTAGCAGAGACAGGAGTGTGTGCCTGCAAGCAGGAAGACAGGCAAGGACAGCAGGGCAGGAGTAGGAAATCAAAAAACATGTTATGTCTACACAAGGGAGGTGGGGAGGAGTGGAAATTAAAAATAGGCATGACAGGCCAAAAGCAGGTATGTGAGGAGCAGCTCACTGCCCACACCTCATGTGTGCATCATGACCCAGATAAAGCCCCAAAATGATGCTCTCAGGGTGTCAGGGAGGGACACCCCCAGTGCTTCCATAATTTCCCAACCTTAACCACTCTGCTGATTTTACACTGAGTTTTGGCTGGCAGCAGGGACTCAGGGGCTTTGCAAGGCGAAGTGCCCATGGTGCCAGGCAGCAGCTGTGGGTGTTGTGCTGCCCTGAGCTGGCAGCTGTGCGATGGTGCAGGGCACAGACACTGCACAGACACTGCTCCTTGCTCCCTGCAGCCCCTCTGCCTGCAGCTGCCTTCCCGCAAGTGGCTCTCCGGGTCCCAGCTGGTCGGCAGCATGTGTGAAGTGATTGACAAGTATGCAAAGGACTTCTCCCGCGTCAGGAAACCCGTGTTCACGGTACCTCCTTGGAGCTGCTGCTTGTCTGTGGGGCAGGGCTGGGCAGTGGGCACCGTGCTGGGGTGCAGGATGCTGGGGATGCAGGAGTCTGTGTCCTCTGGGGCAGTGCAGAGAGCACCGCCACATGGAGATGTTCAGGGCTTCCCCCAGATCCAGCTGTTTTCTCTGTCCCTTCGGTCAGGGGGCTTCCCAGGAGATTGTTCCCATGGCTTGGTGTTGTATCTGCCCTTTTGCCTCTGCCTTTCCCTGGGGAGCTGGGTCTGGACACGCAGGCAATGGCAGCACTAACAGCTGTCCCCTGCCCAGCTCCTGCTGGCCGAGAGCGAGCTCCTGGTGGCCAATCAGTACCTGCGGGCGCTGCTGCAGAGGAAGATGGTGTGCAAGAGCCGGGAGGAGCGGGGCCAGCTGTGCCACCGCCTGCTGCAGGACGCCACGCAGCTCCGGGAGCTCTTCTGTGGCCTGGTGAGAGCAGCCTGGCTGCGTGGGGAGCTGGGGCTGCACCATGGAAAGGGAGCATCACCTCAGCCTCGTGCTCCCCTCCAGCCCACAGCCCACGAGCAAATGGGGCTGTCACACTTGGGTGGTTGTGAGGCCAATATGGGAGGAATTGGCTGGAATAGGGACTCTGGGGACCATCACCCTGCCCAGCAGCCCCTGATGGTGGGACATGCTCAGTGGGAAGACACCAGCTGCAGGGGCTCAGGTCCCCACGTGGGCACTGAGGATGCAGCTGGCTCCCCATCCCCTCAGTGGCATCCTCTGGGTCTCACATGTGGCTGCTTTCCCTCTCAGGGCCTGGACCGGGGCCAGCAGAGCCTGGAGGCCGTTTTTGCCCTGCGGGAGCTGATCTGCCTCAAAGACCCAGCACTACTCAGCCTGGAGGTGCTGGGCTTCGTCACCAAGTACCCCGATGTCAGGTAAGGTACTCCCTGCAGGAGGGGATGGGTGTGAGCCTGCCCAGGAGAGCCATTCTTGGCCTGCACCCTCTGAGGTGACACAGCAGAGCATGCAGTAACCTGAGCCTTTACCCCCTTCTCCCTGAGGTTTCCTTTTCCCATGCTCCAGATTTGAAGGGTTCTTGAAAAGTCCCAAGGCCAAAGGCGTACAGAAAACAGCAGTTCTGCTGTGGCATTTGCACATCTGTATTTGGTGGCCAAACAAACTGTGAAAAGTAACAAAACACCAAATTGGAAACATCAAAACCAAATTCAAAAGGTTGGGAGGGATTGTTTTCAAGAAAATGCTACCTGGCCTGGTGCAAAGTACCAGTTTTCCCCTGGCTTTGGCTTCTGTGCATGGGGGGAGGTCTGCAGCACACGAGCAGTGCTCACTCACCCCTGGCTCTCTCCCCAGTGACGAGCACATCTCCACCCTGCTGGACATCCGCGGGGACGTCTCCAAGGAGGTGCGGCACGTGGTGCTGGAGATGATGGCTCAGCACCCCCAGGCTCTGCCCGAGGGCTACCGGCCCATCTTCAGCACCATCCTGGTCCCTGTGCCCGAGCTGCCCTTCTGCCTTCGCAAGGGCAAGTGTGCCTGACCCTGCCTGGCACTGGTGCCCTGCTGGCCCAGCTAGGGGCTGTGCAGCGGGAGAACAGGTGACATGTGGCATCCTCTACACACAGCACTGTGTTGGGGACAGTCTGGATAAAGGCCATTCTCCTCTGGTCTTGCCCCATGAGAAGACTGTCCCCTGCAAGGACCAGTCCTGGGATACCTGGACTGGGGGAAATCCAACCTGTAGCTATTTTGGTGGCCTGCTGGGACAGTGACTGAGGGCTGCTCAGGCCCACTGCCTGCAGGAGAATGAAGAGTTGCAGAAGGGACAGGAATCTGCAGCTGGGACAAATTCATGTCTCCATGGGGCTGCAGAGATGTTTGGGTTTTCCCAAGTCTCCAGACAGCCCCCTGAGCCAGTGTGTCCCAGCCAGCTCCAAGTTTCTTTGCTATTTCTGTTTCTAAGGCCTACTTCTCCAGCTTTCCCAAAACCCTCTAATTTTAAGGATTCCCACACTAGCCATGAAGGCAGTCACCATTCCAGCTCTGAGGCAGACTGGAGCCTTGCTGGGACCAGGCTGGCAGGAGGGTTTCAGCCATGGGAGGTCCCCTGGGCTCAGCCCTGGGGTTGGGTACTGCTGCTCCCCCAGGCTGGGCCCTGCATGGCCAGTGGGGAGCAGCTGAGCCAGCTCATCATGGCTCAGGGATGCTGAGGAGAAGAGCACAAGGTGGACTCCCCAGCCTAGACAGTGCCATCAGCCCTATCCCTGCTGGCACAAAGGGACAGCTCTGAGTTCCTGCTGACCTGCCAAACCCCTGGCTCTCGCTCATTTGCCAGGAGGAGGACTGGAGTTGGAGGGTCCCAAGCTGCATGGAGAGCATGGTTGTGCCTGGTGTGTTGTCCTGCTCCAAGGCTCCTCTGTGATGGGCAGCACCACCCTGAGCACTGGCTCTCCCTCCCTCCTGTGCTGCTGCCCAGGCCTTGGCATCTCCTCCCAGGTGCCATATGAAGATCAGGAGCAGTCTGTCTCTGCCTACACCCTGCCCAGCCCCTGCAGGGAGACCCCCATGCTCTGCCACGCTTCCCACCCTGGGATGGGCCACATCCCACTGTCCATGCATGGTACCACTGCTGGAAATAAAGGCCTAAGCTCTGTACTCTGCACCCCAGTGTCCAGCTCTGCTCCCTGGAGGGTTGGGGTATGTGGGTGGCACAGAGAGGGAAGGATCCACCCCCAGGTTCAGCATCACCCCAGACCTGGCTCCCTGCACCCTGTGCCAGCCTGGGAGATCACCCAGAACACAGGGGATAATGCACACACTACACACCCCATTGTCCAGGACAGAGGGGGCTGATGTTCCCCAGCCCTGGGTCAGGTGGCTGCAGTGCTAGGGGGATGCTCAGTGAAGGGCTCAACCTCAGCTTGGGGAGGTGCCCACTGTTCCCCCTGGGGCTCATGGTGTGCTTGCCCAGCTGGCCACACTCCCACCTGCCTGGGAAGGTGTCTGCTCTCCCCACCTGCCCCCACTGGCTATGGGACTTGCTCACCTGCACCGCAGACATAGTTCAAAGTGTTCAACCCTGAGCCCTGGGAACATCCAGGTGGGCCCAGGCCAGGACTTCATGGCCATGTGAAAAAACAGCTCTAGTCCCAGTAGATCTGAAACAAGTCTGAGCACGGGACAACCTCCCACCGCAGGAACTGGTGCCCATGCCAGCATGTCCAGCCCCACTGCTACCCCAGCTGTGTGCCCACAACCAGCCTCTTGTGCCCTCCAGCACAGCCCTGTGGTGCTTCCTGCCCCAGCTCCACAGCCTGCAGTCACAACTAACACAACGCAAGACAGCAAAAGCCCAAGCCCCCCAGGTGTCTTTTGACAGCACCTTCCCACATCCCTCTTTGTGTGTGTGCCAGACTTGGCCCGTCACTGCTGCCTAAATGTGTCACAAGGCCACAGGGGGACCTTAACCTGGTCACTTATGAGCCACGTGGCGCCCTGGCTGCTATAAAAACCCGTGGTGCCCAGGAGTTCAGACTATCTCCTTTCAGGATGGCTTTCCTGTGGGTAGTTGCCTGCCTGGCCCTTGCCAGCGCCGTCTCAGGTAAGTGCTGCCCACGGGTGTGGGAAGGTCCTCGGGGCGCAGCAGGATGCCAAGGAGGGTGACACAGCCACCCACAGCAGCACAGGCAGCCCCCAGATATGAGCCCTGAGCTTTTGGGTCACCCTTGTCCCCTGTGCCTCTCCTGCAGGCTGCGGGGTGCCCGCCATCAGTCCCTCGGTGGCCTACAGCGAGAGGATTGTCAATGGGCAGAACGCCGTGCCCGGCTCATGGCCCTGGCAGGTGTCCCTGCAGGTACAGCACTGTCCCTCTCCCTGGGCACTGCCCTAAGCACTGGCATGGCCAGCTGTTGCGGGACCTCTGCCTGTCCCCAGCTTGGGGGTGTTCAGCCTGCCCAGCCCCAGCTCCTCCCCTCTCTTCCCTCCCCAGACCACCACAGGATCCCACTTCTGCGGCGGCTCCTTGATCAACCAGTACTGGGTCGTCACAGCTGCCCACTGCAACTTCAAGTAAGGAGCGATGCCCAGCCAGCCCATGCCAGTGCTGCTGGCAGGGCCAGGGGCTCAGAGCATCCCGGGCATCTCTGAGTGGCACTCGGGTCAGCCCCAAAGGCCTGAGCAGCCCAGGGCTTCCTCCCCAGTGGTCCCCATGGTGGCTGCCCCAGTGCTGCTCCCACCCTGGGTACTGGCTGGACACCACCCCTGACTCCCTCTTACCTCTCACAGCCCACGGTCCCACGTTGTTGTCCTGGGGGAATACAGCCTTACTTCCAACAGCGAGCCCGTCCAAGTGAAGACCGTGTCCAGGGTGAGCCGGGCGGGTCCTGGGGCGGGGCTGCAGCTCCGTGCCGGGGCTGCTCCCACGGGGCAGCCATGAAGGGCTGTGCTGTTTCTGTCTCTGCAGGCCATCACCAACCCCGGCTGGAACCCCAACACCATGAACAATGACATCACCCTGCTGAGGCTGTCCACGCCTGCCCAGCTGGGGGCCCGTGTGTCCACCATCTGCCTGGCCCCTGCCAACCTGGCTCTGCCCTCCAACGCCTGGGCTGTCACCACCGGCTGGGGACGCACCAACCCCAACTGTACGTGAGCTGCAGCCTCAGGGAGGGCTGTGTGTAGCTGCTCTTCTTCCTTGGGGCTCTGAAGGTCCAGGGGTGCTTGTGGGGGGGGGGTCACATCTCCTGTACGTGTGGGAAGGGGGAGAGCTGGGCAGTGGAATAGCCCTGTCTGTGTGTACCAGTGTGCACACAGGTGCAGGTGTGTGCTCAGGGGCTGGGTGTGTGTAACCCAGGGATGGCTGTGCACAGGCACAAGCCTGCCCTTTCTCTGGGCTGCCTGCATGAGGTAATCCTGAGGGAGAAGGGGTTTGTTGGCACGGAGGAGGAAGGCACTTTGTATGGTAGCATCCGTGCACCAGGGAAAGCTTGCCCAGGGCACCTGTGTGCACTGCAGGAGACCCACAGACACTGAGGTGATCTAATGGTGCTTCTTTCCCCTAGCCCAAGCCTTGGCATCAGTCCTGCAGCAGGTGACCGTGCCCCTGATCTCCCAGAGCCAGTGCATGCAGTACTGGGGCAATCAGATCACCAGCTCCATGATCTGTGCCGGTGGGGCTGGTGCCACCTCCTGCCAGGTAAGGAGCCAAGTTCCTGCTGCACAGGGTGGGTGGAGGAGGATATGAGGGGTCTTGCTGAGCTCCCATTGCATCACAGGGAGGGTGGAGGAGCAGGGGACACAGGGTCTTGCCCTTATGGACCCAGATATTTAAGCCCCAACACCCGGCTGTGCGCAGGGGTTCAGGTTGCTGGGACCAGTCTGGAGCATGTGCCAGGAGCACTAAGCAGGAATCTTCTCCACAGGGTGACTCTGGTGGACCTCTGGTGTACCAGACTGGGAATGGCTGGACCTTGATTGGCATTGTCTCCTGGGGAACCTCCAACTGCAACATCAACACGCCGGCCATGTACACTCGTGTCAGCCAGTTCCGTAACTGGATCGATGCCGTTGTTGCTCAGGGGTAAAGCTGCTGCCAGCCTGATCCCTTCACTGGCAGTAATAAAGTAATAAAGTATCAGCTTTTGCTTGTGCCAAGCACTGTCTCTGCTTCCTTTCTTCTCATGATGCAGAGTGGGGTGGAAGATACATGGAGGAGCCTGGGGCTTCTCTCCTTCCCAGAGCTGGAGCTTGGTGCCCAGCTGGGACCCAGGGGGAACTGCCAAACTAGGACAGGATGCTCAGGAAGAGGGGTAGCAAGGCTGGCTGGGGCTCAAGGGGTCTTCAAGCACACCCTGGCACCAATCCAGGCAGTGCTGAAGGTTGGGAGAATGGTCCTCCCACTGACCCAGGTGCCACCAGGGAAGGGAGTGTGGAGCTGCAGCTCAGCACCAGAAAGGATTGCCCAGCTGCAGTGGGAGGTGGGTGTTGGTGGGGGCACAGCATCCTAAAGGATTCCTGTCTGCAGTTTAGAGCCATGACTCGTGTAGCAGCTGAGAACACAGCTGAAAGGGAGAAGTGCCACAGGCAGCTCCAGCTCCTGAGGATGGCTGGAGGACAGCACACTGCTTCACACCTGCAGATCTGCCAGGTAACAGCAGGAAACTGCAGGCCATTGCAAAGGAAAACCTGAAGCTGAAAACAAATTTAAAGCCAGGTGACAGGCTTTTACTCAAATGGGTTCCTGAGACAATGGCTGGTGGGGAAAAAAATAAGTCTTGTGTGACATGGGAGTAGCAAGACACATGCTCAATGAATTACAATCCAGCTCCCAGCAGCTCCAAATAGAGCTGGTGATAAGGCACTGTGGAGAGAAGCAGGATCAGACTGTCCCAACATGAGCTGTGGGGTTTAGTTTTCCTTACCAGGGATTAGAAGGTGATACAACACCCTTGCTGTGTGAATCACAGCCCCTAAAGTGTAATCACTCTATTAAGCAGAGAGTGACATTGCACAGGGACACACTGATGGGAGGGGTATGGAACATCAATGGAAAGCAAACATTAACAATCCGGCCCATATGACTGAGTTAAAATAAATACAAATCTGCTCAAGTAAAGCCTAGGGCTAACAAATTTTAGTGGTCAATAAGAGTTAGAGTTTTTTTAGCGGTTTGCCCTGCAGGGAGCATCTAACTGACCTTAAAGGCAAGTGAACAGAGATGTGGGGATGGACCATGCAGGCAGAAAGAACTGGGGCTATAGGGAACGTCAAACAGGAATGACCAACTGCAGCACTGTGGGTCACCTGGTCTGTGTGCTGGGCTCTCTGTCAGCTCTGCCACCACTGGGATGGGGTCCCCTGCCCTTGGAAAATCCTGGAGAGGAGGTGTCTCAACAGAGGTGTGCATTGTTCATTTGATATTGCAAGTTTTCCTGATGGTCCATAAAAGCTGCTCAGTAAAACTGGAGAGGTGATGAGTGGCTGTGGACAAACCAGAGCATTCCTCTGGCCCAGTCTACCACCTTGCAGCCAATGAAAAATAAACAGAATGTCCCAAAGTGCCTGTTCAGCCTCCCATCTGCACATTCCAGCAACAGGCTGAGTGCCTGCCTCATCCAGGGCACCCCATGGACATCCCAGCCCTGCACAAGGTGTCCCCTGGGCAGCTGCAGTACAGAAACCAGCAAACCCTCTGATGGGCACTTTGGTACCTGTTGCTGTGATCTATGAACATAACAGAGGGGTGAGCACCTCCTGGGTCTCCATGGACTTACTGACCATCATTCCCAGCCTGGAAATCAGGCCTGGAATTGCCTTGCAGCAGCCAGCCTGCAGGTGATCAACAGGCACAAGTAAGGACAGCAGAGCCGTGGGGTACACAGAATACATGGACATGTTTTAGCAGAACGAGTACAACAAATAAATAATTCTGTACACTCTAATGTGAACATTACAAACTAATTACAATGGGTCCCACCTCATGTGACAGGACAGTCCTTAGAGTAAAGCCAGGACTCGAAAGGCAAGGCACAGAACAGGACACTGGATGTGACACAGACCGAGTGGGTGAGACCGGAGTCGCTTCCAAACCGTTCCAACCCAGCAGCGGAAACTGGGCAACCAAAAATAACAGCAAGTGCAGGAAGATCTCGGATCCCAATGGCTTCCTGGGAGGTCCTTCCGTAGGGAAAGGCAACAGGAAAGCTCAGGGCATCAGAGCTGCTGCTTTGTAACACCAGGAGCTGCTGCTTTGTAACACCAGGAGCTGCTCCAGGAACCGATTCCACATTCAGCAAACAGTGCAGTGCCCTCTGCAACAGCAGCCAGAGCTCACCCATCACACATCTGCAGCACCACCAGGCAGGGGAGGACAGTGGGAAAGGGACAATTGTTACCAGGCAGAGCTCCCGCTGCCCCTGGCACACTGAGGGTGGAAGGCACTGAGCTCTGTGATGCCGCTCGCCACAGCACGTCCCTGGTGTTCACATTTATTTCTTTGGGAAGTTTCCTGCACAGTAAGGCACAGCTGACATGCAGGCACCTGCCTTGGAGTGCTGCACTCTTAATCCAGGGTGAAAGAGGAGACTGAGTGGTCAAAAAAAGCACCAAAACCCTCCCAAGAGTGGTGAAGGCAATTTGGGACTGGGTTCATGCAGAGTGGTACAGGCACTTTGTGACACTTTCCAGGAGAAAGCTGAGTGGGTGAGAGGCCTGGACAACCCAACCTCCCTGCAAATTCTAGGGCTCACACTAGTGCCAAAGAAGCCAATGTCTGTGTTGCTTTGCATCACTTAGAAAACTAAATTAAGTCAAACAATTGGGATTTTAATTTATCCCACCTCAAACCCCCCAAATCTTTAAGTATCATTACATAAACCAATACAGCCCCACACAACCTAACCAGAAGCCTGTAACAGCCACACAGTGGTTGCCCTATGTGGTACAAGACTGAGCTGAGCCTGCACTGCAGGTCCTCAAAGGCACCATATGGAAGCTTCTCCCTGCCCCTGGACTTGCCACAGCTCCTGCAGAGCCAAACCCAGAGCTGCTGCCCACCATTCCTATTCCAGTTTGTGCATCAGATAAAAGCTGACTCTCTTAGTACTGCAGCCAAACACCCAGGTAGAAAACAGGACTGAGCAATAGGGCAGGGCCTCAGAAATAGTGTAAATCACCAGAACAGAAAATATCTCACCTAAAAGAGGAAAATGCCCACCAGATTCCAAAGAAGAGTGTGAGGGTTTATCACATCCAGAACAAACACGTGAAGCAGGCCCTGCACTGCAGCTGCTTTCCACATCACTACCAAAGCCAAGTCTGAGCCCAAGCTCCTCACAGCTCTCCTCCACGTACAGCTGTGTGCTTCCAAGAACAACACAGGGCAGGAGCATCTGGATGCTATCACAACTGCAGTGTTCAACAGCACAGGCTTCTTCAGGAAGGGTGATTTCTATCCCCACTGGGCTGATGTGTCAGGATTTTTAGAAGCCTGAGTGAGAAGTAAATAAAAATGGACTGATAATTTCTGTTTTAGGAAAATACACTACATGCTCAAAGACCTGGATGCAAATCTTTAGACTCCTTAATGCAATTTCTGGATGACTTTTTCACATTCTTTTCAAATACCCTTCAACAAAAATAATAAAAATCAAGGAACCAACAGGCCACATTCTTTGAAGCTGTAATTCTCTCCCCTGAGAGAGCAGCCAAACTCCAGGACAAAAGGATGGGATTGTTTTACACAGTACTGCTAAGTTCCAAAAGACAAACCACCCTAATTCCCTTCACTCCTCAAAGAGCAGCGAGGAGAGGGCTGTGCTGGGACAAGGACACACCACAATTTGCCACTAGGTGTCATTCCAACTCCACCTCCCCTGCGTGAGCCAGAGCAGGCAAAACAGAAGCACTGAGATTAGTGGTGGTCTGGAACAGGCAGGTGTCACTTCTGTCCTCCCTGCACGTTCAGGAGGGAAGCTTCCCAAAAACACCCTGCGAGCCCAATTAAGAACCACCATTAAAAGTCAAAGAAGGACATTAAAAAAAAATAAATGAAAGAGTAGAAAAAAACATTTCAGAGAGATTTTAGTTTCTAAAATCCCCAAAAAAGGCACTCCTGAAAAGTGTAAACTCCTGAGATTTAAGACCAACTGAGCACTGAGCTGCTCCTGTGGAATGAAGACAGATGATCAAGGTAATTCACAGTGAAGAGCTTCTTAGAGAACAGACTGAAGGCACCTGGACCATGGCTCAGAATTATAGCACTTTGCCTGTCCCCCTCCACACCAGATCAACTGAAAACCTGTCCCATTTGCAAGAATAAAAGCACCTGAGGAATTGTTCTTAAGCTGGACGTTCCAACGTGGCATTTGGAGCACCACAGTTTTCCAGACTGAGGGAAACATCACTGAGGACTCCAGGGTCACTTGGACAGAGCTCTGCTCATCTCCCCTCTGGCCACATGTTATTGTCTGGCTGCAAAGCTCCTATGAATATTGGATTTAGAAAAAGAAGAGGGAGTGAGCCAAGAGTTAAAATTGAACTATGGAAGGAAAGCCTGTAAAGATTTTCCCAAGCTTACACTGATTTTTCCATGCAAACAAGAAAACCTTGCATTTGTGAGAGGAGTTAGAGTTCTTTTTTCAGAAAAGCCAAAGCTCTTTATGGGATGGCCTTGGTCCTCCTCCCACAGTTCCCAAGCAGTGGAGTGCCCTAGGACTGCACACACCTCAATACCACAGACAAGCAGATGCAGATATCCAGCACTCTCAGCTATGGGATGGATCCTCCTTCTGCCAATTCACCCCTAGCCACAGAGCATCATCACCAAATCCTGGCACTGTCAGGAACCTGCACAGCAACCTCCTGCTCCTCAAAACATATTCCAGCCCAAAGTAACCACAAACAATCACTCTGAACGTCCCCTGGTGAAAAAACAGTCGTGGAAAAGATCAATGAAGCAAAAATTGCCACAGAAGAGAAGATTCTTGTTCTGCTTTGTGAAGGTGGAGAAATAAGCCTGGTTAGCCCAGAGCTTTATGCATTCCTCATCCCACAAGGGAAGGATAAAGGAACAGCATGGGCAGATCTCTGCATGATGCCTGTGCACTTTGACAGTCTAGTGGTTAAGGGGAAGGGTCTCAGTTCCAGAGGTCTTGGCTCAGTTCATCAGTTTGACCCCCTCACCAGGCAAAATAAAATCCCTGTTTTATGGATAAAAATGCAGGATAATCTGGAGAGGGCCATGGGAGCAACCAGGAGGTAAAAGCAATCACAGTGCCTGGAGTGATGCTCCAAACACACCAAAGCCTCTTCAAGTAATGGCTCAGAAGCAGAAGTGCTCTGAGGGAGCCTCCTGCCACCACCTGACCTGCAGGACCCCAGGGTCCAGCTGATCCTGGCCCAAGAGGGGCTCCTGCTTTTGGGGAGCTGTTTGCAGGACCATGAGGGACACTGAACTGTTTATGAAACAAAATGTGGCAAGCTGCTTTGTCAGAAATCACATCTAGTTTATAGTTCCTGGTAACAAACTAGGGGAAAACAATGTGAGGAGGTAAAAGATGCTGAAAATATTTTTGTCTACAGTCCACAGAGTTGAAAAAAATAAATATAGGAAATTCTACAGTATCTGTTAATGCTGAAGGAAGAAAGATTGTGTGTGACATGGGAGGATGGGTTGCTCAGAGCAAGGGCAGCCTGCAAAGGATGTGAGGTTTTCAAAATAACATGAAAAACCATGCAAAGGATTTTGAATTCACTCCTGCTACACACAGTGGCTGTCCTCAAGTGCCTGCTCTATTCCCCACCACATGCTTGGCACACCAGGCTGGTTACACTCATTTACAGCCCATCCCACATTTGGGGTGGGAGCACACCCCCAGAAATCCCCCTTTATTTTATTTTTTTTTACCTTAGCACAGAAAACTCCAATCTTCCCCCATTAAAGCTGCTTTGCTGTTTGCTGACTGGGAGTGACTGTGAGAGCTCCCTGGAGATGGGACTGACCATTTTAGCCCTGCTGACACTGAAACACAGTGGCACAGCCATCAATCCTAGGAAAAGCCAAGCTCACCAGACCCTTGAGCTGGGACCTGCCTGCACCTCCAGCCCAGAGCCAAGCAAGCCCTTCCCAAGGGCACAGCACAAAGCAAATCGTGTGGCTTTGTAAGAAAAGTTTCAAACCCCAGCATTTTCCTTCACTGCTGATCATGTCTCTGCTACCATGAGAAGCCAAATCCATCCTGTGCCATCAGCCCCACTTTGCTGCCCTAACTAGCTGGGAAGAGAATCTCAGCAGGCTTGCAGAAAGCTCAGCTCTGCAGCCCCCACCTCCCCTGAGAGTCCTTTGTAAGAGGCCACCTCATCACCCACACAGCACAAGGACTCCTCAAAGGCAGCTTTTTCCTGGTGAACTTAAGTCACCCCTCACAGCTCTAGGGCATTTGTACAATGTCTCCAGGGTATTGTTACTGCTGACACTCCCAGACTGGGCTTCCACTACCCAAGCCCCTACCCTGATGCTGTGGAGCCATTTGTGGCCACCCCAAGAGCTCCCACCACCACTGTCCCAAAGCAGGGATGGCAGTGCTGGGGCTGCACAGGCACACAAAGCAGGGGAGCCCTGTCAAATCTGCAGGCAGGGAGCAGCCTGGAAGCACCAAAGTTCTGGTGCAGTGACATGGTCAGTAACACTGTGCTTACAGTGGTTATAGCCCATCCCACCTCTGGGGTGGGAAGCACATCCCTAAAACCTCCCTCCTCTTTTTTCCCCTTAGCACAAAAAAACCTTCTTAATCTTCTTCTGAAGGGTGCAAGGTGCGCAACATGTCAGAGACACAACAGATCCACAAGAACAACAAACCCTGCGTGACAGGCACTGGTCTTGCTGCAAACAGGGAAAGGACAATTCCAGGGGTAAACCCTTGATGTCATCAAGTGAGCCCTTGACGTCATCAGGAGGATGGCAGCCCTTGGGGGAAACCTCACAGCTTCCCAGCCCTGGTGGAAAACTGCTGTCTGGCATCTCTTTGGCGAGGAGCTGGTGGGCAGCACAGCAGTGAGTCAGAGCTATCCCACTTGTAACTGCACATGACTCACTCCAGCTTCGCTGCAAAGGCACCACGGAGTCTGACTAAACCAGCCCAAAATCTGAGTATCTATGATTTTTAAATACATATACACCCCCACACGTGTGTGTGCACACACGGACGTGCGCGCACAGACACACCAAGTGATTGCTTCTTTTTTCCGTACACAAGTGAGACAAACTAAACGCTCTGGAATTAATAAATAACTATGAACAACCAAGCTCCTGGGCTACAGAAAGAGCTCTTCTCCCCACGTGGCTCCTTAATTCCTCGAGGCTCTGAGCCCACAAGGACTCCCCCGTTCCTGGTGCGAGACCCTCGCAGGCTGGCACGGCCACCACGAGGTTCCCTTTCCTCCACACGGGGTGAGGGGGACACCTCCTGCAGGGAGGGAGGGAGGGAGGAACCTGGCTGTTCCTCACTGAGTGTGTGCACACCTGCAGGGCAGAGCAGACCTGTGGCAAGGGTCCTCCTTTTGAATTTTCCTTTCCAGAGACTCAAGCTCAGCCCGTGTACTGCTGCTGGTAGCGCAGGTTGAGCTCGCGCAGCTCCCGCTCCCGCACGCGCCGCGATTTGTTGGACTTGGTGGAGCGGCTGGAGCGGGTGGACTGAGCTGACTTGGTGCTCTGGCAGCGGGAGGAAGCCCTCTTGAGAAGGTTCTGTGAGATGGAGCGGTGCAGGTTCTTCATGGAGGAGGAGGCTGCCATGCTGACCACCCACGGGTGCTTCAGGGCCTGCAGGGCCGTCATCCTGTCGCTGGGGTCCACCGTCAGCAGGCGGTCGATGAAATCCTTGGCCAGGTTGGACACGCTGGGCCAGGGCTGAAACACAAAAGAGGTGGTTGGAATGAGACATCCTTGCTGATTAATTAATTTCTCCCACGTCTGCAAGGTGCTTTGGGGCATTCTGCTGCTTCCCTTCTCTCTTTTATCCTCAAATCTTCCAAGCTGTAACTGGCAGTATCTGCCCAAGGAGAATGAGACACAACTCCATGTTAGGGGAAGAGGCTGAATTAGTGGGAAATATCTGCAGGTACACAGGTGCAGAGTAGATCCCCCCAGCAGCTGGGCTCAGGCACTCAGAAGCTGACCCTGCAGGCACTGACACACCCATGTGCACACACTCAAGGGTCTCAGTCTGTCACTGGCCAGGGGCTGTGTACAAATCACAAATGGGATGGGACTGCTGGGAACGTGCCTTGAGCTGGTTTATTTTCCAGCACCAGTCTCATTACATGGTGATGACAATGGGAAGATGCCAGCAGCTCACATTCCAAGCAGCAGACAAAGAACTTAATGTTACAACTTACTTTAAAAGTTCTTTGACCAATCACACAAAGCAACAGCACATTGACAGTAGTTCTATCTAATTGCTATAAGCACATGGACCTTTGGTTAAGAAAATGCTTGTTTATTTCAAATACAATACCTGCTTGTAAGCCTTAAAACACAATGCACAGAGCTCCATTATTAAGTTTAAAACTTCCTAGTATCTTGCTAGATATACTTTTCTGCAGCCTAGGGAGTTATTCTAGACAAGTTAATACACAGACCATTGTTCTATTTGTCCTTATTTTTCTACTTTTTAAATAATTTTTCTGCTGACCTATCTCATGGCTACTGCTTAGCTCTCATCACAGGTCTGCTGTCTCTGAGGCCTGCCTTTTGCAGCTTTCCCAAAACCCTCTGATTTTACGGATTCCCTTATCAGTCAACCCCCAGACCCAACCATCTCTCCAGCAGTGGCTGGGCCTTCCCTGGTCCATCTGGTCCCCAGATCTTCCTGGAGTTTTGTCCTTGTCCTTAGAGACACACACACATGGACACCCCCAGCTTCCAGGCCCTTTCCCTGTGTCCAGCTCCATGCTCACCAGCAGCCACACTCAGCCACACTCCCCCACACCTGTGTTTGCTCCATTTGCTGCACCATGACACACACAGGCTCCCAGACCCATGTCCTGCTCCAGCTGCTGGTCCTTCCTACCCCATCTTCTCCCATCACCTTCCAAAATCCTACAACTACTACCAGAAGCACAGTACCTGTATCTCCATGAAGACCCTCTCTTGTCCAAGTGCTTTCTATCCCACAAAGCCATTGCTGCAGGCACAGGAGCCCTATCACTCACAGGGGATGGATTCTGACACCCAGGGTCCTTGTGACTCATCATCTCAAGGCACACATCTAGGCAGGAAGCACCAACCTCTGCACTGATCCTGGAACCAAAACTAGGCAGAATTTTCTGCTGTGGAATTTGGTCTCACTCCCAACATGGAAATTTAGATGCTGCTACCTGGTTAACCCTGGTACAGCAGCTCAGCCCAGCTGGAAACAACCCCATAAACTGTTCTAAATATATAGAAATGTTAGATATAAGAAATTTGCAATAATGTTTACCACAGAAAGAGGAAGAAATTTGTTTTACAATATGTTAGTTTTAAAGAAATAAGCCCAAAATAATTAATTAGTCCTATAATAAATATCCTCCCAGCACACCCAAGAATGGCCATAACAACTTATGAGTCAAACACCTACAGCCACAAATGCAGAATTGTTTCATTTGTGACAAAACACTGTATTTGCACTAGGGTGGGAAGTGAGAACATTTCCTTCAGCATGAGGTAAAGGCTGGGCTGTGGATGTGGACAAAGCTGGGAAGAAAAATGTGACAAAACCCACTGTAAGGGTAGACAGGAGGAAGCAGCATGGCCAGCAGAAAACCCCAGGTGGTGAATGGAGCCAGCAAGAGCAGGTTTCTGCAATCACTGGGTACTTTGGGGGTCTCACCTGTCCTGAAACAACCAATACTGAATTTTTCAAGTCTGTGGAGATCACATCCCAAGCTGCATTAAGAAAAAGCCTGAGCAGATTTCTGCAATGAACATTTCCATATAATAATGGTGACATACATGTAACTGAGTGGACCCACCCCTGTCTAGTTAAAAAAGCAAAACTCTGCTATTCTGTGTCTCTCATTCTTCTCTTCATTGGGTGAGGAAGAAAAGCACCCAGCTATTTTAAAATTCAGGGTTCACTGACTGTACAACCAGAAATAATGCCCTTTTCTTGCACAGAAGGTCTAAAAAAGATATGTCCTGATTTTTTGGAGGTTTGTAATTCATTGCTACAGAAAGCAATTTTCTTTTCAAAAGACTCAAGGCACCAGCAAGAGAACAGATCCCTGGGAGGAATTTTTAATGAAAAGGAGGATGGTGTAAGAGTTACAGCACTGCTCCCAGCCCACAGCCTGTCAGTGCATGGCCAGGAAAGGTGAACTTGAGCTTTAGCTGAGGAACTGGCTGTGAGGGGGATCAGGGTACCACAGTCTTATTTTACAAGGACTAAAACAGTCTGGCTCACTCAGCTGAAATGGGATACATGGTCACTGCCAGTAACTATGCAAGAGAAGAGACTGAAAATTATATTAACTACCTGATATAAAGAAAATACTGGTACATGAATAAATACATATATATGTTCCTGATCATATTCAGAATGGAAATGGAAATACTCAGGGAGGAAGCAGATCAGATACCCCTTCACATTTCAATAATTAAATCCATTAACAACAACAAAAAAAATTCTAAACATTCAAGTTTTTCTGTCATAGAACCATTAAGGTTGGAAAACACCCTGAAGACCATCAAGTCCAACCATTAACCCAGCACTGCTGTGTTCACCACTAAACCATTTCCCCAAGTGTCACATCCACCTTTTGAACTCCTCCAGGGAGGGTAATTCCACCACTGCCCTGGACAGCCTGTTCCAGCGCCTGACCACACCTCCAGTGAAGAACTTCTTCCTAATACCCCATCTAAACCTGCCCTTGCACAACTTGATGCCATTTCCTCTTTCCCTACTGCTTTGTAAAGAATATAATTATAATATAATATATAAGTAAAATTAGTTTGTCACAATCTGCCTTTAATGGCTTTTTCTTAGCTGATGAAATAAATGTACCTTGGCAGTGAATGGTCAGAAAAAACCAGGTGCTTGTTAGAAAAGAACAGGACAAATTCTGATCACAGACTCATGAAAGTGTCTATAAAGAAGGTAAATAAAACAGCGAAAATCCTTTCCAAATTAATCACGGAAGCCACAATAAAGATTCAATTTTAACTGAACACATTGGTCTATTTTGAAGATTGATGGACAATTGAAGAGCTCAGCCTTCATGGTATTCACACCAGAACCACAAAGCTGAATCTGCCCTGCCATGGGGGAATATAAATCCCATTGCAAGCCCATAGATTCCCAAGAGACTTTGGATAAGGTACCTCATTTGTTAAATACCAGCAAGGGGAATCAACTTGCAGGATTTAGCCTTCATTGGCATAATCTCAGCTGATCCCAGGTGGTGCCATAAGTCAGCAGGGAACACATCACCTTCCCCTCACACTGCGGGGCTCCAGCTGCAGAGAAACTCTGGGCTCCTCTTCCAGATCCAAATGGAACCCAGGCAACAAGAGGCTTTGCCTCCACTCTTCCAAGCTTGCCTTGAAAAGCTTTTAAAGACTCATTTCTGTAGGTTTTTTATGGCTCCCTTTCAGCAATTCATGCAGCTAAAATCACAAACTCATTACCTGGCTACTCCATCAACCCCCAATTCCTTCTTTCCTTCTCCTCCTCCCAGGAGCCACAGCTCACCCCATTCTGTTTCCTTCACAGAGGGCTCATTCTCCACTTCCCAACAATCCTAATGGGACATCCAAGCTAATGATACAGCTATTAAATTTACCAACTAATGATACATCTATTAAATTTACTAACTTTCCCTCAAAGTGAAGGTAAATGCAGGTGACAATTTGCTCTCTGTGCAGTAACTTTATAAGAACTCTTCACTACCATCTTCATTTCTGTTACTGGCAACTGAAGTGACTTAAGATCCCCACCCTGAAAGAGCTTTTGTTCCCCTCAGGTGGAGAAAACACATCCACACAACTCCAATTTCATGGTTTTTCCTGGGTATTTCTTCCCCTCTTACCCTAAAACCTTTTACCTTTCTGAATATGGTCCCTCACAGAAATACAATCATGCCAGCACCTCCAGCCTCTCCTTTTTTTACCTAAGTCAAAAGAAATGCAAAGATGCTCAAACAAAAAGTATTTGAGAACTGGCACAACAGTACTTGGAAATACATCTTCAGGACAGGCAGGACAGCATTATTTTCTCTTCCAAGTGTAAGTAATTGCAGAAATCTGGAATTTGAGGCAACCCAGGAACTATTTTGCTGTCTCCAAATGCATTCAAACTTCAGTCAAATGAGATTCTGGTGAGTGAAATGTGCCTCTAAACAGCAGGAATAATATTACTTCAATATTTTCAAGTCTTATTAAAAGATGGCAAGTGTGATGATTTGGAATTTGAAGAAATCTGTGAAGTCTGAGGCCCAGGAACTGTGATACATAACCAGCCTAAATCTTGAGAGGCCTGTCCAGTTTAATGAATCCTAAAGAAGAATAAACTCCAAACAGAAGAAGCACATTGGATTTCTCATTATTCCAATTACTCTAGTTTCACCACAAATGGTGAATATGGAGTACCTGCAACTAGATTTTTCTTCTGGTCAGCAAACACAAATCAGTTTATTGATCTGTTTACACAGCTGGAGGTTTGATTTGCTGCACCACACACATCTTTCCTATTTTACTGAAGGTTTTTCTTTAGTAATACGTAGGGCTACATTCTACCCATGCAATCTGCAACCTCAGTCCCTGGAGAAATGCATCCACTCTCCAGAAGACTTGCATCAGTTGACAAAACAGCAGTTTTAACTTGGCAAAATCCCATTAACCCTCCAAATTAATACTGCAAGGCAGCAGCA